CGCTGTGTCCCCCCCCACCCCCGCACTGGTCAGCCTGTGCCCCCTCAGCCGCGCTTCTCCTGGGGCCGGCCACCCGGACCTGCGGGAACCGAGCCCGCGGCCTCTCTGCCTTCTCCGGGCAGGAAGCTGCCCAGGCTCTGTGCCGCGGTTTCCCCGGGCGCAGCCCTGCGCCTCAGCTTGGCTCTCCCGGGAGTCGCCTCATCTCTGCGGGGCGACAGATCTGCTTCCCAGGGCACTTTGTGGGGCTGAGTTTCGCAACTTGAGGCTGCACGTTTATTTTTAAGTCCTTGAAAACTTCCCGCAGTCGTGGGGGGAATTTTCTGTCCTCAGTCTGACCTGATGGGAGACGGAGATGAGGCGGTGGGGTGAGGTCCCCGTTCCCGGACCCATCCGGCCGCGGCCGAGCCCCAGCCCCAGCCCCGGACCGTCCTCTGCCTGCGCCGCCGACACCTGGCTCCGGGGTGTGTCTGCGGCGGGCGGCGCCGCGCCTCCTGCGGGGCTGGGGACTACCTGTGCTCGGCCGCGAGTAAGGGGGCGCAGCCCTGGAGCTCCCCAACCCCTACTTGGTCCAGAACAGCTGTCAGTGCTGCCATCCCAGTCTGTTCACTTCTCACCCCTTTGCTCCTAGGCATTCACATTTACATTTATTTTAGTGGTGGCGGTGCCGGGTGGGGGGGTGGAACAGTAACTGGTTTATAAATGCGTCTTCCTGAATGGGCCCCATTTTCATATTATGCTCACAGTTTTCAGCTCAGCATTCCATGGGCGAATTCTTTTGGTGGTAATTTTGCTAGATTTTCTGAATGGGATTAGGACCGGCCGTTCAGAAATCTGTTATCGGAGTTTGTCAACCACCACCACCAAGGGTGCTGTGATGTCTTAGATATTTTCAAGCACATCCTTAAGAATGGTCAGCCTTAAGGTCTTGGTTGGACAAGATTAAACAGTTGTTTTTAAGACAGAGCAGCAACATATGTATTTATTATTGGAATCTTGCCACTAGGGTCACGTGAGGTTTGGTTTCTTAAACGCTGAAATGGCTTAAAAATCGGGAACATCGTTAGGTTTAAAAGTAATTTCAGGTAGAGGAAACTCAATTGCTTCTGTTCAGCTTCTCCTGTGAGTTGAAGACTGTACTGAGGCAACTTTCAGAGCTGAAAAAAATGTTCTTTACTGCACTTCATATACCCTTTTATTTCAGGAATCCTGTAAAATAGTTGATAGTCATTTCTGCACAGCAGACTCCTAGATCGCATTAGCAATTAATTCTGAGTTGTTTAAAAAACCCTGTTTGTTTTTTGATTGTTGACTTTGGAGTTTAGAACCACATTCCAAAGCAAAGCTAAGCCATGCAGAGGAAGCACTTTTGTATACTTTTTGGTTCTTGGCTCCTCTGAACTTTTCTCCAGATAACACTAATTTTCTCTTTCCTCCTCCTTTCCTCATGACTCTAGAGCAAAGTCTGAAATGGATGTTACATGAATCATTTTAAGAGCTGCATACAACTATGAACATTTCTGAAACCCTTTTCTCAGTAAAGTAGATCAAGATGGATGAATCTGCCTTGTTGGATCTTTTGGAGTGTCCTGTGTGTCTAGAACGCCTGGATGCTTCTGCAAAAGTCTTGCCTTGCCAGCACACGTTTTGCAAACGGTGTTTGCTGGGGATAGTAGGTTCCCGGAATGAACTCAGATGTCCCGAGTGCAGGACTCTTGTTGGCTCTGGTGTTGAGGAGCTTCCCAGTAACATCCTGCTGGTCAGACTTCTGGATGGCATCAAGCAGAGGCCTTGGAAACCTAGCCCTGGTGGGGGCAGTGGGACCAACTGCACAAACGCATTAAGGGCTCAGGGCAGCACTGTGGTTAATTGTAGCGCAAAAGATCTGCAGAGCTCCCAGTGTGGACAGCAGCCTCGGGTGCAAGCCTGGAGCCCCCCAGTGAGGGTGAGTAGCCTGCAGAGGCAATTTGGTAAATAAATGTTGTGGTGACCATATTTTTCTGTATTCTTTAGCTTTATGTTTTCTAAATCAGCTCACTGCTTAAGAAGCTACACTTACTGGAACAGATTGGACATTATACCTCTATACCTCACGATCTTTATTTTTTTCTTTTTTCCATCTTGAAATGAGGTAGGATGTAAATAATATAATTTTCTTGTTTTTAAAATTTTTTCCAGCTAGTCTCTATTGTTTTTTAAGGTATATTTTGGGAAACGGCATTTATTCAATGAAATCTAAAATAGCAGTTTTTCGTCCCTATTTTAAAATGAAATTTGATATGGTTTTCCCCTTTTTGTGGAGTTGGGAGTCATAATTGTGGGAGTGTGTACATATGCATATTTATGTTGTAAATATGCATGTGGATAGAGCATAAGTAGGAAATCAATCCTTATTTTTTTGTGTTGCTTAGAGTCATTCTCCTGATTTTATGAATGCACAGCACAGAATTTACTGGTTGGAGGAATTCTTAACAAATCATGGCCACAGGTAGTAGAGTTTCGTTGCCATAGCAACAGAATATCACTTAGGACTATGCTGAACCATCTAGCTTTATATTGGGCTTTACAGGTAGTGAAATGAAATATTTCCATCAAAATGATTTTCCTTGGGGTTGGGCTGAAGTAATTTTAGGTGAAGTTAAATATTTGCACAGTTGTTACAATTTAAATTTCTAGAAGGTGGAGTATTCCACATAAATATAAATTGTGTTGCATCCGCTAGCTTCCTGATAAGATGGGCTTTTGTCAGTTTTTGCAAAAATGAAACATGGTCATGGACATCAGATAATGAAAATGGTTCCATTTTTGTTGGAAGAAGCAATTTTGGTAATTGGCCAAACTCGTAAAAATCTACTTTTAGAAAGTAATTAAGCTGGATGAGAATTTTTTTTGAAATGCTGATAGTCAAAATTCAAAATTGACTTTTAAAATTTAATATAGAACTTCCTGTTAGGATAGCATTGTAATATGAATTTATGGATGTGGATAACTGCAACTGAGTGGTAGTCCCCTTACCGCCTTCTCAGGCTCATCTTTAACAAATGATATAACGTATTTACATCACTGGATGTGAAGTATGTAAACCATTGTTTGGTTCCTTAGAGTACAGTTTCCTCATTTGACTATCAGGTTTCTTTTGATTCATATTTAATTTCCTTTTTTGAAGAACCAGACGAGGTGTTATGGCCAGGCACGCCCATAATTCCAGGGACTGGGGAGGCTGAGGCAGGAGGATTGTTAGAAGCCAGTCCAGGCAAGTTGGTGAAACCTATCTCAAAACAAAAAATAAGAAAAAAAGGACTGAGGATATAGCTTAATGGTAAAGTGCTTCTCTTGAATGAAGGAGACCCTGGATTCAGTCACCAGTTTAAAAATCAAAAACAAAACAACAACAACAACAACAATACACACACAGATAGAGAAAACTCTGGGTTAGGGAAGCTTTCCTTTTCTGGAGCCCACATGTTGTGAAATTGACCTGCTTACAGCTTTCCTTTTTACCTTTATTTTTTGACTACCTTAATTAGTGTATATGGATTCATGAATGTTTTCACCTCAGAACTAGTGATCAAGTGATAATTTCTAAGACTCTGGACCCTGGTCGCTTACCTTAATGAAGGGGTAGATTTGCATCTTAGTAGAGGTTTTGTTTCCCTCTTAATTAGACGACAGAAAACATGGCTTCCGGCTGTGAGGAGGAGTGTCTTGGTTGTTGACACACCATACCTGTTGTGCGGAATGTGTTAAGTGTTTGATCACTGATAAAAAGGAATTTCACTGCTAAAAAGGAGAGGCTCAAGCATTCCACTTAATGTCCATTAAATTTTAAGTTTTCTTTCTAACATAAAAATTGACCATTTAATGCTATTTAAGTGAAAGAGCTGAACTGCTGTATTCCTAAGATTGAACTTCACTTTTCTTAGGTAAGTTGTTTGGAGATTTTGATCATGTTGTTGTTATTTTTCTGGCATATGTGATTTTCCTAATTTGCTTCCATTTTTTTCTTTGGCATGAGACAAATTACTTGCCAAGAAGCTGAACTGAACCTGAGCCTTATAATTCATGTGAAACAGTTGAGGTGACTCCAACAGATGTGTCTGTTACTACTACTACTGGTGGTTGGGTTGAAGCAAATGATAGAGTACTTATCAAAAGAACAACTTTTTTTTTTCCCCTCTAGTTACTCTTTAGCATTTACTGGTATCTTTTGCTTGCAAGTATTCAGAATAACCAAGGCTACCCATATGCTCCAAGCACCTGAAAGTAAATAATATCTCTAGAACATACTCCTTTTAAAAGAAAGAATTCTGTAACATACAGCCACGTGGCAGTGTAATACACTCTTTGGGACACTTCCCTGAGGTGAGCCAGGGTAATAAATCCCAAACGTGCATCCTCCTCCCTCAGATGTTCTGACACAACCAAATGGTGCTGTGAGCCTGTTTCCACATGTTGTGCAAAGCTGAAAGTGATAACATGTGGAATGTTGCTTGAGTTTACTAGTTATGTTCTGTGTTACATTAGATTGTGACCATGTGGCTTCCTCATGCATTTAGCCAGGGTAGATTGAATGTTATCAGCAGATCTGAACATTTCCAATGTGTGACACACATCTTGTTCCCAGAATTTTAGTGTTTCCTGTCTAATATGAAGGAGAGAAGAAAGAGTAAGTGTTAGATTGGAGTCACCATGGGATCTGACAGTTCTTTACCTGGAATAAAGAGTTCTTATTGGTTGGTTGTTGGCTAGAGTCAAGCAGCAGAATGAGCCATAGGGAGAAGGAGATGGCAGATACATACTGTTTTAATGCACTAAACTGGGTGCCTGTAGAACATTGTTGTCTAACTAATCCTCTCTCTCTATATTGTGTGTGTGTGTGAATGATGAAGAACATATTTAAGTAGTTCCTATAGAATTGTGACCTAATAGAATAAATTTCTGCTTTCAATGTGTAATTCCATTGGCTTGAGATCTACTAATATCTGTACATGGGTTCGTCCACCTAGATATCATTACCTAATGATTTTATACTGTCTCCACCTCAATGTGAATTTATTCAACAAAAATAGATCACATGACCACTGATTCACACTAATTTACTTTTCAGTTGTTCTTTGTTTTATTTAACAAGTATTTATTAAGCGCTTATTAGGTGCCAAATTCTACACCAGCTGGATAGGTAATGATGGACAGACCAGAGGTAGATTCTGCTGATGAACTTTCTTTTCTTTTTTGCAATGCTGGGGATCAAACCAGGGTTTTACTCATGTTAGGCAGGTGTTCTACAGCTGAGCTACATATATCCCCAGCCTATTGCACATGAATTTTTATGTATGTATGTATGTATGTATGTATGTTTGTGGGGCTGAGGATCAAACCCAGTGCCCCACACATGCTAAGCGAGCACTCTACCACTGACCCACAACCTCAGCCCTGCACCTGAACTTTTGGGTGCGTGGTCAGTCTCTCAGGAGAGATATTAAAAACATAGCAATTCAGATATGTAACTAAAGGTGTTAAGTCCTATGACAGAGAGGAAGAGGAGCCCATAGGAGAAGGATCTGTGTTTCATGTGAAAATAAATGTGTAGCCCTTTGTGGTTGTGCATGCCTGTAATCCCAGCAGCTTGGGAGGCTGAGGCAGGAGGATCATCAGTTCAAAGCCAGCTTCAGCAACTTAGCAAGACCCTATCTCTAATTAAACAATATATAAAAGGGCTGGGGATGTAACTCAGTGGTTAAGCACCCCTGGATTTAATGTCTGGTGACCCCTACCCTTCCCCCAGAAAAGTGTATGTGTGGGGGTCTCAAAATTTTCTGTGAGGAAGAGGTATTAAGTAAGATCTTAACAGTGAAATGATGTTAATTTTGTGAGTGGGGCTGGACTGGTGAAGGGGCAGAAGGGAAGAGCATTCAAAGACCTTGACCTATAGCAGGAGGGGCTTGACTCCTAGGAAGAACTGACTGAAGGTGAGCCGTGAACTGAGCAAGCTGCAAGCTGCAGGAATAGTTAAAGCCAAGCCTCAAGTCTGTTAACCTACAAGGCATTAAGAACCACCACAAGGAGTGGTTAAGGGCTAAATGGGTGCCAGAGAAGTCAGGACTCTTCACTTGGGATTGGAAAGGTGGATCATTGGGATTGGGATGATGAGCAGAGATTTAGAACTGACCTGGGATTGGAGCTTGGAGTCAAAGGATTGGGACAGAGGAAGGGTAGAGAAATCTAAATATGAAGGAACGTGGGTGAAATTCCCTTTTCCCTGCAAGCACCATGTATGCTTTCATTTCTTCATAGCCACAATCTCACCTCCTTTCCTTTTTCCAATTTCTTGCTCTTATGGGCTGAAATGTATCCTTCAAAATCCTTCTTATTGAAATACTAATCCTTGATACCCCAGAATGTGGCCCCGCTGGAGATGTGGTCTTTAAAAAGGTGGTTAAGGTAAAATGAGGTCATATGCATGGACCCTCATCCAAGATGACTAGTCCTTATATGAACAGAAGATCAGACAAGAGAGGGGAGACCATGGGAAGACAGGTGGAGAAGATGGCCATTTGTAAGCCGAGGAGAGAGGCATCAGAAGAGCCCTGCCAACATCTTGATTTCAGACTTCCAGGCTCTAGAAGTGTGAGAAAACAGATTTCTGTGTGGTTGAAGCCACACAGTCTGTGGTTCTTTGTGCCGGCAGCCACGGCTGACTGTGCATGCTTCTAAAGATCACCCCCTTGAGTGGCCTCTTGATCCACTGCCAGTCCCTTCAGTCCTTGTTTCCCACAGAGACCTGTGGTGGCCTAACCCATCTGTGTCTTTTCTTCTGAGGTGGAATACCCTTGGGAAGCAGTTCAGACCCTCCTCCCCACCGCCACCGCCCAATTGCCTGTTAACAATTTCATAAAGTAGAAAGGAATGCTGGAAGAAAATGAGGCTTATATGACAAAGTTTTGG